ATGTTAAAATATATTTATATCACGGGAAACTACTACTGTTCCAAATAGATTCTGTTTAGAACAGTTTCTGAATTAAGTATTTTGAGGTGATCATATAAGAGAGATCGCATTGGTTGCTAGGCAGCTCTGTATTGATCTTCCGATGAATCAACATCATAGTACTCTAAGCGGAAGCCTGTCACGTGTACTTTAATTCGGATCAGTTAGAATTGCTTGTATACATAGCCATAATGAGAATTGAAAGCCAGACTAGATTAGAAAGCGAGATTCGTCTCTGAAAGGTCACTCTTGCTATACATCTTGTTATATAATCGATACTAATCATAAGCTTCTTATATCTCAGTGACATATATGTTTCGTTAAAAATAAAATCCGGATATCTCTTAAGAACTCCGGAAAACAAATAAACAAATAAATAAACAAGTGTTTCTTTTATAATTTTCAAGCTATAATTATTAAATTTTTCCAAGACATAATTTAAATCTAAACTTATTAATATATTATGTAATATATTGTAATATGATTATAATATGTGATTACAGTTAAAAATACAATTATAAAACGGTCAGTCAAATAATTATAGTACGTACTAATTATATTATTCTTAGTAATTATCGGCAATTTATCGTGCACGAGTTATTAACTGCAATAGTCTAAATCGGGAGTCTTGTTGGCATAATAAACGTATGAGAGTTATATGTCAAAGTATTTTTGTCTCCGATATAGGCCATTGCCGTTACCCACGTGGTTGTAGTCGACGAGAATCAGTTATCTTTCTTGATACACCTTAAGAGCGTAAATCATAATGTAACAAAGAAATCTAATATAGCTTAATAATTGTATTAATAACGAATTTTAAGTATATTTCCATTACTGCGTAATACTCTTCTGTACACGCCATGTTTAATATTTAGATACTAGCGTTTAGGTGAATGTATGTTATTTAACATCACTTTTAAATCCTTCATATATTTTACACAAAATATTCTTACCCTGCTAGTGCAATGCAATCTTCTGAACCCGTTTTCGCCGATTCTCACGATCTTCAACATCCTGACACCTTGCATCACTACCACCTTCAATGTTAAAATACTCACTAATAATTTTCTAAAATTGTATTCGATGACACTAATTTAAAATAACCACAATTAATTCACCATAATTTAGAAAGTTGTAAACAATATGAAAAAAATAATTTAAAAAAAATAATCAAACTGCTCCATTCAAAAGTAAGATATTTCAATTTACAGTTTAGATTTCACACGTCAATATTTGGCCAAATAAAATTTCCTTTTGAGGGCTCAAATTTTCTGATCAATATCGCAACGAATAGGTATCCAGCGTTTTGCACTTTAAAACGCAAAATGCTCACTTATTCCTATACTATTTGATCCATACTTTAAGTTATAACTTTTCCAACTCTTAAGATTTATTTATTTAATAAATTCTCAATTGATATCGTCGAAATAATCACCAGTTGTAATTTTGTCTGCGACAACGATGTCGCCAGCGAAAGACGACCCTCAGCGTCCCGGCAGCCAGTATCTACTGCATCGAAGGACGCACAGAAGGCAAGACCGGCCGGCGGGACATGCGCGATTAGGGATGGTATAAATTTTCGCTATACCTGAGCCAGAAAATGTCAAAGGTTCGTCGGTCGGCGTACAATTAGTATGATTTATTTTTCAGAAAGCAAAACCATGAAATGGCATTAATATTAGAAATAGAAGAAAGTCTGTATATAGATACTAAATAAAATAATTTTGACACATCACAAGCATATACTTCAATTACTTAAATTTATGCCATATAACAAAAATAAAACAAATAATATAATTATTTAAAACAATACAATTAAAATCAGCAATATTGTAGTAACGTTGCGAATATTGCAGTAATGTTGCTGCAAGTTTTGGTGCTGTATAAAAATATAAACACAATATATATATTTATTTATTTTCTATATAATATAATTTTAATTTTTATAAAATAATTTTAAATAAAAGAACAGTGTAGAATGAAAAATTAATTATGGATTATTAAAATTGAAAAATAGGATAATGAACACTTATCATTTATTGTCTTGTAATTGTTACATAATGATATAATATATTGTGTAATAACTGTAAATCTTGATTGTAATTTCTTATATTGAATAACTGTATGTAATCCAAACAATTATCTCTAAATTTCTATTATTTAAAACTGCATGATGCGATGAGTAATGCGAACTGCGACATACGAGAAGACATCTTAATCAGTCATAGCGCACCGATATAATTGCGATATGCAATATAAATATATTTTGCAATCGATAAGATAGCTATCCTGTACGTGAAGCTATTCTACTATATTTGTATAGTATATATAAATATACTCATCTAATTTAAATGTTACACAATTAGAAAATTATGAGATTTTTATAAGAGAGAGAGTATAATCAGTATGAAGAAACTGACTTTTATTTGATCTATTTATTGAACAAGTCTCAGAATTAATTCTAAATTGTACAATAACCAGAACAGCTGAGGCAGTTTTAAAGTTAATAGATCCTACTTACAGGGTTTGTCCGGAAAGTAATAGGACTGAGTCGATTAAAAAAAATTTATTGAGCCAATCGTTACAATTCTTTAAAAATTTTCAAAATAGGCTTCTTCTGCGTCGATGCAGCGCTGCCAGCGCGATTTCCAAGCATTGAAGGCGTCACGGAAGGCATTCTCCGGAATAGCCTTGAAAGCTGCGGTGCATGCTGCTTTGATCCCCTCTGTCGTCTCAAAATGCTTGTCTTTCATCGGCCTTTTCAGGCGAGGAAACAAAAAAAAGTCCGGGGGGGGGCCACATCTGGGCTGTAGGGCGGCTGCGAAAGCGTTGGGATGCCGGCCTTGGTCAGGTAGATGTCTTGTCGGACCCGATTGACCCTTTGTTTGAGTCTCTTGAGCACTTCCACGTAAAACGTCAGCCAAGTTTTACGTGGAAGTGCTCAAGAGACTCAAACAAAGGGTCAATCGGGTCCGACAAGACATCTACCTGACCAAGGCCGGCATCCCAACGCTTTCGCAGCCGCCCTACAGCCCAGATGTGGCCCCCCCCCGGACTTTTTTTTGTTTCCTCGCCTGAAAAGGCCGATGAAAGACAAGCATTTTGAGACGACAGAGGGGATCAAAGCAGCATGCACCGCAGCTTTCAAGGCTATTCCGGAGAATGCCTTCCGTGACGCCTTCAATGCTTGGAAATCGCGCTGGCAGCGCTGCATCGACGCAGAAGAAGCCTATTTTGAAAATTTTTAAAGAATTGTAACGATTGGCTCAATAAATTTTTTTTAATCGACTCAGTCCTATTACTTTCCGGACAAACCCTGTATATATTGATATTTAACACTTTGGTTTCTATCTCCTTTCTAATTCTTGGCATACTTATAGACGAACTAACACTTATTGCATGAAAGACATAAGCAATAAAAGAAATTATGTCTTTAATAGATAAAGAAAAGATGAAGAAAAATATTTTATATAACATAAATTTTTTTTAATTCACAAAAAATGAAAGTCTTAATCAATTTTTTGACACTCACCATTTTTTTATGACATCGAACAATAAAAATAAATTAAAATTTTACTACTAAAATGATTTTTTGGCACTTTGGGAAAGTCCAAATTTTAACAGAATCTCACAAATAAGAGCATCTTGAGCAAAATGACATATGAATTAAATAGGATTGATTTAGGCGCAATTTCAATTTGTTAGAGAATATACGAATAACTATATTATTTCATAATATTATTTTATAACATTATGAAATAGTGCACGTGATATTATATTACGTACGTGTAATATTGCACGCAGTATAATGTTGTTATTATTATTTTATAAGTCACTATTTGTCATTTAATGCACACAAAGATAAATCGCATCAATTTTTATCTTCTAAGATTTGGAAGACTGTTGCATAATCATATATGCTCAAATGTACATATAAATGTCCAAATATAAATAAGTTGTATAAATTGTAAAAAATTGATTTAAAAACATTACAAATCTCAAAAAGGCGAATACCTTTTAATTTCATATTGCCTTAAAGTATCTAAAATAGCGTAAGCCGCTCTGATCGTACTTAAAAAAATTATTAATAAAATTACGCCATTGTATAGTGTTGTCAATAATACGCTTTTGAAAGTGATGAATGATTATACATCTATATTTACAAACGATGCGGTGAGCTTTTGATTTTATGCGCAGAACAAGAGGATCCTTAATTCTATAATATAAATAGGATGAAGATGATAAGTGTAAAATTCCTAAAAAAAACTTTTTAACAACAGAAAGAAAAATAAAAGGGAACATGTAAAAATTCTAACGCTATTATGATTTTGATCTGCTTTAAACTTCTTAAGTACACTAATTTCACACACAGTTAGATGATCAATCCTGAGAAGGCAATTTTCATTGTCTATCTTGAAAGTGGCGTAAGTTTAATATATGTACATACATTGCAAGATCTGTGCACTTTAATGAAGTTATTTAAAGGTTGACTTACGCCTTTCAAGATAATTTCATATCATGTCGACTGTACGAATTTATCGTCAATCATCGTCTATAGTCTATACTAAATCGGCAAATAATGTAAACGTATACCACTTGGATATCTTTAAAATAATATTGCAAAACGACTGGAGAGAGTGAATAACAGCTCTTCAAGTCTTTAAGTAAAGTTACCTATAGTTGTTACTTTGATAATACAACACGATGCAACACTAGTAGAGATCTATCGCATCAATCCATATAAAGCTTTGAAGTCGGCGAAATCACAACGCTTGCTCCTTTTCCTATCATTAGTTCATTGTCAAACAATCATTTTAACTACGATGTAATTATTGAAATAGTTAAAACAACTGTTTGAAATTATTATAACTTGAAATACGGACAATAAGGAAATAATACATTACTTCGATTTCTTGAAGTCTTCATATTTTCGCTTCTTATTGAAGACGTCGCGACTAGCGCTATCAAAAATAGTGCCATTTCCATTCGCAAAGATGAACGTTATCACTCATTCTACCTACGATTGATTATCTCACTTACTGTATCTGATAAATAACAGACAATTGTATAAGGCCAATTTATCGCTTGCAATAAAATTATCTTGACATTGTCTTCAACGTAAGGCGTACACCTCAGACTACTTCAGGTCAATATCAGATTACCGTATCCTGATAAGCGGGCGGTCCACTGAGGACAAACTGTCGCTGGCTTTGTCTGACAACGTCAGTGCGATTAGGCACCTGTGGTGTCGCTCTAACGCCGTGATAATTGCTATAGCTAGATCTAGCGCTGGCCGGCCGATTGCTGTACAATTCCTCCATGTCCTCGCCGTTTAGGCTTTGCGTGCTGGTTTGTTGAAACGTAGGATTGCTTTGACCCTGCCACTGCATCGGGTTCAGCTCGCCAGGCGACGTCTGCCAGTTGTCGGTGAGGTTGCGGGTGGAGCTGGTGGTCGGATGCTGATGGTCCCAACCAGCGGGCGGGCTCTGACCGGCCGGGAAGCTAGGCGACGCGTTTGAATAATTGTTGGAGGAGTCCTGGGTGGTTGGCGGCCATAGAACCGGCGATACCGCTATGTTCACCGCCTCCGACTGCCAGTTCCGATCAGCGTTCCGTTCACGGTCCCAACCAACTGCGATCCTGTCGTAGTTGAGCGTGCCCTGCGACAGCGAGCTGACATTCTGGTTCGTCAGGTTACCGATGCAGGGTGTGACCGTGTTCGCATACAAACTCTCCTGGTGGTCCATGATGCGGTTCACCGGGTTCTTGCGGCGTGACTGGCGCACTGAGCTGCGCCGCGTGTTGGAACGTCGCGTGCTATCCCGTGAGATTACGGAACGTCGCTTCACCCGGCGCGGCGTCATCGGTTTCGGTGACACGCTGTCATCCTGCACCGGTGGTTCGGGTTGCGAATATTCGATGCTATATAGCGGCCGTGGCTGCTTCTTCTTTCGTTTAGTTCGTACTGTTAAGGAAACAGACAGAGAAAGAGGCAATCAGATTTTGCGGTCAATACAACTCTTTTTTTTTTGTCTGCACACTCATAATGATCGAATGATTGATGATCACTGATCAAACAGAGAAATGGAATTTATCATTTTGTTTAAGACAATCCATAACGATCTT